ACACTACTTTCGTTGTAACGGCTCAACAGCGCTGGAAGAGGTTGTCAGCGCGATACTCAGATTTATGGCCGCTTCACTTATTTTTTACGAGATTATCTCAAGCAACAGACTTTTATCACACGACCTACTAGCATCTTTCAGCTTGAGTGTTGAATCAAGCAAGAAATAAATGTGTATCGAAGTTCCAACTTTCAATTTGTAGCACGAGAAACAAATACTTTGTGGGAGGGCACCGGGTAGCCCGAAAAATTTCCCGTGTAATTTCGCTTACATACCCCGGTCACGAAACCGGTCGCATTGAAAAGAGTAGCCAGGATCTTTCAAATTACATATGATTTACAGGAATATGGAGGTTGAATCAACGGTTGTTTGACTAGACCCCAGTGCTTACGAAGGTTTTGCAACGTTCCCGTAGCTTATTTTCATAAAGGAAACTACTCACAAGGTTGCTGAAAACTCTTCGACAGCCCACGACCGGTTTCGCCCTTCCAGTTCGGGCTCATCAGGTAGTCCCCGAGTTTCCGTTCTATGTTCTGCCCTGTTCTACTTGAACCCAAATTGGACTTTTATCGAGGAATAAACTCATTTGCAAATCAGTTTTCACGAGAGACTCAAGAGAATATCTCGTTTATGATATTCTTCAACTGAATGTGCTGCACTCAGGCCGCCTCATGATTCAGTCGGCACGATATTCGAGATATCGCAGTATATCTTCATACAAGAAACTACTCATAAGGTTGCTGAAAACTCTCACTTGAAATATTGTCATCGATGGTAGGTCTGAATGCATTCAATGAGGTGAGTACATGATTGACTAACGAGCGATAAGCCATGCGCACCGATGCGGTCATGGAACCTGACCTAACTGTCGAAGACCCACGGCAGCGGACAGCGGGGTTGGATAGACGATCCCATCCATATCGGTCGATTGATAAGCTCGCCTCTGTAGGACGGACGTAGGGTGGCAGTGTGAGGGCCGGGCCATGGCAAGTCGGCGTATTCTTGATATATCCTCACGCTGGTTTGATGGATTTTACAACGCGTTTCTCTGACCCCAGTCAATAATAACAAAAACGATGATGCGACCTAACGTGACGTGCAAGCTATGCAGCCGACTGAGATTATTAAACTTGGAGCACACGTGTGAAACTATAGATTTCGCACAGTCACGAAAACACAAGTATCCAACTTCAGGTAGAGAAAAGTCACAACGTTCTAGAAGGCTTTGATAAACAATCGGAGATCAGTGTGAATGTAATGTGCCAGTGTGCAAATTGGAAGAGATCTTGATGATTGGCTCTTCGTCTGTCCTAAAACTCGGCGAACGAGCTAATCTACTCGCTTGGCGTGACGCCGGATTCGTGTCAAAACAAGAACGTTGTCCACTGACCAAACCCTTCTTGAATGATGACTTCCCTGTCCCTTCAAAACTTATTTCAACTGATTGAAATGTTTCATCGGTTTAACTGAAGCACCATGCCTACGGGAACAGTTTAGGGGCTCACTACTAACTTTTCGGATTGTAAGACGTATCTCTACGGACCAACCATGAGCTAAACACTGCTATCCTAGGTTGGCTTAAACAGCTTTTCTGATCTGCCATTCAACCGCGAGTCCAACAGCACTTGTCGTGTTTTTCTCCATGTGACGTAGTGACCATGAAGAACCATATTCAGCCGAAACACCGGAAGAATTACCGTAAGATGATTGTGATTTCTATGGACGATAGCGGAATATCCGTTACAGCCTCTTGTGAAGGCGATATTCAAGTAGGCTGGGAATAGGCCTCGAATCACCGGTCATCCACTTGTGGTTTTCATGTCCTGTCGTGTGTTCATTAGGTTGATTCTGCTTTCATGGATGTTGAAAACACGGTTTCGCATGAATATACATGAGCGTGGACCAATCAAGCTTGCTAGATCGACGTTACCTAGAATGTAGTGGCCAGAGTTCAAGGGTATTTTGTTTCGTTCCAAAACTGTGTGAGGTTTGACAAATTATGGGATGTGTCTACGTTCACAAAGAATACACTAACGGAAACCTAGCGAACGAACGAATACTGTCATGGCTTCGCTCCCCAATGTCCTTAAGATGCGTCCTGATTTAAATCAACTCAAAAGGAGTTAAAAAAAATTGTTCGGGCACAATGCTACACAATGTGCACAACAAGTTCAATCTGTTTTCTATTTAAAGCTACCCACTCACTCTTGTTTGCCACAAAACGTGCGAGCTGGAATTGAAAGCTAGGGGTGGATCTTAAAAGTCATGGTACAGCCATGTCATCGTACAACCATGACATGCACAACTAACAAAGGCAACTCAACCAGTCAATAAAACCATTTCAGTCTCCGCTTAATGCTCAAGTCTTTCTGAGCACAGATCAATGTGGCTTCAAGGAAGTCCAGTCACTATTGAAGCGATATCGATTGGTCGACTCAAGTCCACCAACTCCGCTCAGAGCGTTACTCTGAAACCACCATGGTTCTATTGATCGGTCAACTTGTGTTTCAGTTTTATGCAAACGACTGCTACTAGCCCTGTAATTCATTTGGGTTTTATTCTACTTTACAATTGCTGTAGGAGATAAGATTGTACAAAGTGAATTTATCCAAAACGTTTGCCGTTACCGCTTAGTTCATACCGATCTGGGGATCACAGTGTTTTAAATTCAGAAAGGAATCGTTATTCAAGTAACAACTCAATCGAAACGACTTTGTCGCTTGAGCGAACTTATCACTTCAAAATGTTTATTCCTCGTTTTCTGTGTAATCAAACACCTGCTGAGCAATTACAAAATTAAAAAAGAAAAAAAACAAAAGTGAGCACAAATCTTTGTTTTTGCCAACTGCACATAAATTCGACTCGATTTTTCCGACTAGGAAGCAAATAGTTTTCCCTTGTAGTGCCTCTTTCAGCGTTATACAGTCTACACAACTTTACTTTAGTGACCCGTATCCCCGAAGACGGGCAAAAGTGAATCAAACTAACCTTCCAACTTAGGTTTTCGAGCTTCACGTTCGTCCGAATCATCCAATAAAGGCCGGCTTGTAAAAATTTCCACTGATCTTTCAAACTCAAATAACGAGATGACACAAGCAACAGTCTCTAGACTTCGTGAGTCCAACATCCACCTGGTTACAGTAAGCTGTCAAGTGAGTTTGAAACTCATGATCGATTTTTCTGGCTGACCTTGAAATCCACTGGATAATGGCTTGCCATGAAAAATAAGGTTATTCAGGATGCATTTCGTCGTTTCAAATAACAGACAATCGACTGAGGCGGTTGCAGTATTCGCGCAAGAGGAGAATGCCTGCGCCCGCCTCCACTACACAATAGTCCGAGCTCATGACCGCACCAGAAAAATGTGTATAAGGCGGGTTTTACAGTGGTCTAAGGAACTACGACCCATCCTTCCAATTCCCCAGGAGGGGACAAACTTTTCAGAGCCGACGACGCGTCCTCAAAAGAGGACATAAGGCCACTGGCACAGATTTATTAACTGACTTGGACAAATTGTCACAAACACAGTGATGAACTCTCTCACTTGACCTCACACGCAGGCTAAAGGAGAAGAGCATGCAGTGTCACCTCGGCTAAACAGTGCAGCTAACCAATTCTACTACCAATTTGAATCGGGTTATGTTGCTATGTAGACCAGGAAATATGATGCTAATGCTGATAATTTGATAATTTCATCGTTTTCTATTTACAGTGTGGTAGTCTGAACCGTTGCTACGATGTGGAAAAGCCCATACAGAAGTCTAGATTGAAACGACCGGTCAAATTCTATAACTGTACACAAAATACCGTTTGAGAGAGCAGGTGTTTGGTGCAGCGTCTCTGTAAGCCACATCAGCAGATTGTCAGGTCATCACCTGACTGTTTCAGCTCACACACTTTTAGTTGACCGTCTGTGCACCCGTTTTTGGCGAATGACTTGGGCCTAACTCACCGGAATACCGATGACATCGTGTTGCTCCACAACAGTGAGTTTAGCGACAGGAAACCAGCCTGAGCAATCCGTAACCTCAGTTAGCTTTTCCGCTGGAACTGACCACATTGGAGAAGTAGTAACCAGCCTGTCAGATGCCCAGTGCTCGAATCCCAGGAAGGGATAGGGTAGGCATTATTGATGAGCTGTAAGAATGAAACGGGAGCCATTGCTTCCCAGCTTTGATGTGGTTTAAGACAAGATGAGGACTGCTAAACCTACTACTCATTAACCACTTTTGATCTGGCCGGCTTTCACTACCAATATAGCTTGTCTACAGTCAGCTGTGGTCGGGAACACCCTTAGGAAATTTCGAAAAAAATTTCCCTCAGGGTGACTGTGTATCTGATGGGGTGGACTAGAAAACGACCATCCAAGCAGGCGTGCAAAGACGTGATGCGTCTTGTCACTGCAAGACAAACAAACCAGTGGGAAAACCCTGCTTCCCTAGTGCACCCTCAACCACATACAGGTGCACTCGCATTAGTAGAATCGTCGTTCTGGGTCATCAGCATACACACCAGTACACCTGCTAAACGTAACCAAACGGAACCGAGGTTGGTTTCACCTGCTCATGAGCAACTGCCCGGCATTTTCATCCTAAGGAAGACAACATCAGTAGTAGTGTGGTTGGGCAAATGTTGCCCGATTATCAGTTATGACCTTGACGGTGCGTTAATGGACAGGCCCTGGTAACACTTGAATGGTGCGCCATACTAGTGGAGGTATGGCATTACTCTGGAACTGAAAAGAAGAGACGGATCGATAGCAAGCCAGTTACAAGTACCAGCACACAGTGTCGCCATCGTAATTATGCCGACGGACTTCCGCAGTTTTAAAATGGTGGCTTACCAAGAAATGCTTACCATACACTTCCACCGACCACTTCAAAGTAGGTTGTCGTGTGCTTTCGCGTCTTTTTAGGATGATAACAACCAGATACATGTTCAAATCCTCGTAAAAACGTGTAGTCCGTTTCCATGATGATATTTTGTCGTTCGCTTTACAGCCGGCTCCCCGCGAATGTGAGACTACTGGTCAGCGCCCGCGTTTAGACGTCTCGGTCATCCTGAGACGTGGATATCATGACCTGTCTGTTAATCTGAAGAAGAAGCGTCAGCTGTAGCCACCCTTCCGGTGCCTAACTGCCATGCCACCCGAAGGAAGCACGAGGGCTGGGATACTGCCAGGTTGCCCAAGCCTAGACAGGGGAAGTCGAGTGGCGGGGGTCGGATTCGAACCGCGGACCTTCAGGTTAGTAATCCGCGCTCTAACCACTTCGGCCATCTGAATCAGATATGACTTCAAACTTCAAAGTTTTAGACTCTTCTGCGCCTTTCTTCACTGCGCATGCCAATCTGTGCATCTGATGCACTACCTAGTTGAAGAAATACGCACTACCGATCGACAACTACCTTGATCTGACTAGCGAGGTATATTCAAAGATGTAACGCGTGGACAAACTCAGAAAGACCCCATACACGAGCGGGCTCGCTGGAAAGGGTGCGAAGAGAGGAATTACGAAGATTCGGATTGCTAAATGCCGCCCCTACTTCACTGCCTTCATGTCGGAGGACAGGCCGACAAGGAACACAACAACTTTCGTGCGAACAAATGAGTGCAAAAGTTACTGGGGGTCTCACAGTAGTTAAAGTGCACTTTCGACCTTGATCCAGGCCGTCTGATCGAACTTGGGTGAGCACAATCATCGTCGACCGTTGCTGAATCGATTGATAGCTTCAACGTGTAATCAGAAGCTGGCTTTTCTGGGCCGGATGCTTGACAGCTTCGCTGCTAGGATTTTGGTGGGGTGCGAGTGTGGCTAGGTTTCAGGAATTCCGGGAGCATTTTCAGGAATCTGATCTTCTTGATACAATCTCAGTGAGGCCAACAGCTTCGCCACTCATCTAACCGCTGGGGCCAGTTTTGTCCATGAGTCATGTCATACACCGACTCGATTGAATTCCGGATAACTGGCACTGGGCTTCATGATCGAGCGAAGAATATGCAACTAAGTGCATATTGACTGATCCCAGTTCTATTTGAATCAGAATCAGTCAGTAATGTACTGTAGCTGAAAAAAAAGCTCAGGAATATTAACGGTAGCGCCCAGTTAAACTGGTTTCATTTTTCTGAAATGTGGACCAGTTTCTAAGGCTCTACGGGTCACTCATCATAAATTTGTTTTGCTCACATGTAGACTTGAGACCGAAATCGGGGTCACCGAGATAGTATCCATCGAAAACAAGATGGCTGAAACCTATTCATTCGTATCACTACGTTTTAGGCGAAACGTATTCGGTAACTTCGCGAAACGATTTCCCCTGGTGTCAAAATAGTTCTACCTGCACTGCTGAATCTTCTCCTCAGTGGTGAAAACCTTTGAGGCGTACTCACTTGTAGATATTGAGCGGGATGGCGATATTCCAATTCTCAAATATGAATACTAAGGAAGTCTAATCACTCTAGCTTATTCGGTCACAAGACTTAGCACGCGGCACTGCATATCCACAGGGTGTAGAATGATACTGAAATACTGGGTAGCTTGCAGATAGATCATCTACCTGAGTAAAGGTGCCAGTCCCGGTGAATTGGTAAAAGAATCTCCGATCGGCCAGGTGAGAACGGCCTTCACTAGGCTAGGACCTACGGGTTGATGTATCGTCGGCATATCCAACATTCTGTTGCAGTACGGTCCACGCAGCTTTATCGATTCGAGATATTGTCGGTGTATTTTATCACAAACATTTCGAAAACATTATTTGAAACTGATGGGAACACTGGGACAGCAAATCTGAGTTCCATTGGATGGATTTCCGAAAATAAAACGATTAGTCCACCATATTGGAGACGATTGTACGCTATTGGTTAGAATTGTTAGGCCGCGTAGTTTGTATCCCAATGGACAGTCCGCCACAGAGGTCCCATTTCAGCTAACCATGAACACAATGAAGACTACTGAACAGTGGTCAGTCTGTGAATTGGTTAAGTGCGAAAGCGATTTGTTCATTCCCCTGAACAGCGGCCCTGAGACTCACATATGAATAACGATCCTGACATACTCTACTCACGCAGGCAGTGACAGTCTTGTACCATAGCTATCACCTTCAATGGGGCGAGATTGCCCAAGTGGTTAGAGCGCGAATTTACTGACCGGAAGGTCCGTGGTTCGAGCCCGACCTCTGCCTCTCGACTTCCTCTGTCTAGGCTTGGGCAACCTGGCAGTATCCCAGCCCTCGTGCTTCCTTCAGCTAGCATGGCAGCTAGACACCGAAAGGGTGTTCAATACATAAGCTATATCAGCGATCAGGCCATCAACCTCAACTGATCGGTCGGCCACCACCTTCGAAGTATGACTATCTCGTCATCCACTCGGTGGTCGTAGAACGAAACTGAAATAAAAGGGGACCGATGAACGTTGTAGCGAGTAGCACCTATTTGCAGTTCGACATCCCATCCAGTCGACGGATATAGGGCAAGGGGGGAGATAAGACGGACTATCTTTTTGCATTTCTACTCAAATAATGATTATGGTTATCTGGTGTTCAAAAACATCCACCTAAACACAAACAGGAACAACTTGCGCAGCGGGAAACATCACTGACGTGTCAAAGCACCTGGTGTGCACGTGTTAATTTTCGCTCAGATAGATAGAAGAGGAGTGGATGAGGAACAGGGCAAATAGAGCTCCCCGTGGAAAAAGGATGGAGGAGCCTGACAAGGTGGATGGTAGATGAAATAGTGCAAGGTGATGAGGACAGAGGCGAAAGGAATCAAAACGAATGAACCGTGTCAACATTCGTAAATCAAACAGCTTCGTGTTGTCCGAATTCGATCGGGGCGAATATGCTATGTACAGATGAGCTGCTCCGGTGTGAGGGCTGACAGAAAGATGGATCAGAGAGAATATGGGAAAATAGGGAACGAGAAAAAGAGCGTCCGGAGTTGAGAAAGAGTGAGTCGGCAAATGCTTTCTGTACAAGAAACGCGAGCCTTATTCTCCAATTGCCGGAGAGATGAGTGATTGTGGGACCCGGGCACAACAGCATGATGTTATGACACTCACTGTACACTTGGGAAAAGATTGACACGGTAACAGTTGAACCGAAAAATCGTACAAAACGTGTGAAACTGGAGAGAGAGAAAAAATCGTACAAAACGTGTGAAACACGAGTGGAGAGAGAGAGAGAGTGGTAGATACATCAAGGGGTGCGCAAACGCAATTACTGATGGCCGAAGTTCGGTGAAGCAGACATGGACTGTCATGCGCTGCCGTTTAGGCAGGGATTCCCAATGCTTTTGGCGTTGTCTTGAGCTTCCAAGATCCGAACAATACGAAGAATCGTTTCAGAGCCGGATGAACCAACGCCTTTGGTAAGCGAGAGGAAACTCAGCAGTTTGGCCAACATGATCGCTAGCGGACGGAACTGACCGTCAGGAAGTTTCCCACGGATTTTATCAGCATACAAGCGACTAGACTGGATGATACAGCCGATTAATAGAGCTAGTGATGGAAACAGAAAGAAAACAAGGAGATCAATATCCAATGAAATTTGACCGCTGGCTAGCGAAATGAAAGAAAAGGCACTTACCCACGTAGGCAGCAACCACAGAATCTTCCATGTGTTGTTGAGCTTGGGACATGTGTTCGGCCAATTTTTCTTGTTCTTCCTGTGTTTCCGCAACAAACTCCACATCGGCTCCGCTTCCAACGCTTTCATCATCATCATCGTCATCGTCGTCGTCATCCATATCATTCAAGAAATCACCGTCTTCATCACTGCTTTCTTCATCCTCTTCCTCCTCATCGTCTTCATCCTCCTCACTGCCTTCTGTGGAGCGTTTCGCGAGAGCCAAAGCACGACGATGTTCCTCACGGCGTCTTTGGCGCAGGCGCTGTCTAGAGCTCTTTCGATGGCGTCCACCTAAAGAGAAAGATGAAGGAAAGATTGTAGCTGTGATCACTATAATGTTAGGTCGCGCACAGGTAGATAAAACTTGACGAATCCAGAGTGCGCTCCGGGATACCAGGACAATTTTCCCTAGTGAAACAGAATGATTAGCATAGCATTCAGCCACGAAGAATTTCAGGATGACTTCTGATTAATGTTCGATTGGGCTAGCTGCTGTTCCAGGACTTTGGTCACGACTTCGTTCCTTTAGTCGCATGTATTTTATCCGACCACGAGCCTGTTCATTTCACCACATATGGCCAGCCTGGCAGCTGTGGCAATCGAAGGGCTCCTGATCTTATACTTCGAAGGTTGACAGGGTGAGACAGATCCGTGAAAACCAAGCTGGATTCCATTGATCACATTTTCACCTTCCCACAGATTCTGCAACAGTGACAGTGTTTTCAGCGCCAAGCAATGGTTGTCTCCCTCGATTTGAACGCTGCCTTTGACTGTGGACCGTCAGGCACTATGAGTGTCAGTGGAGCACTATATGCCAACTCCCGCGGAAGTGTGAAGGTCAACGGGAACCTTTCGCCTGAGTTCACATCAAGTGGTACCAGACAGGTCTGTCCTCTTTCACACCCAGGGGCTTTTTCCGTCTTCCTTTAGCCATAAAGGACTAACCACGGTGAAAGAGGCGGCGCTGGAATGTCTAGGTTCAAGCGTCTTCGACCAACAATCCACCTGAACGATGGGGACAAATGCAAAGTCCCTGAAAATCACTCCGAAGGCCAAGGACCTAATCAATCAAACAGCCATCCTACTTTAGTTAATGCTAGCGAAAAAACGCCGACATGAGTCTTTGAACTTCACAGATGGAAGTTTTCGATGACTAGTGTTTGATAGTACATCCAAGACCGTGTGTGGGATGAAGAGGTCTGCCGTCCAGGTTCCAGCAGAGCACGGTTAGAGCAGCTAAACCAAAGCGTCGTCATCAAGATTGCGTTGTCGTTGAGATGGTCAGCTAGAAACCCAATCGATAATTAGGTCCAATGCCGGATCTGCAGGCTGTCTTCGACTTCTGCTACGAGAACTAACAATCGATGAATATCTACGAGAAACTTATCATTGATCATTGTGTCGGAGCATCCTAGGAATCCAAAAAGCCCGCTCATGCGCCCTCTGGAGAGAAGTAGTTGGACTTCTGCTACGAGAACTAACAATCGATGGATATCTACGAGAAACTTATCATTGATCACTGTGTCGGAGCATCCTAGGATTCCAAAAAGCCCGCTCATTAGCCCTCTGGAGGGAAGTAGTTTCCTCACACAAAGGTGCGTATCGTCTACAGGGCTGCAAGAACCGTACAACGATAATAGTGAACCCTGGTTGTTCACGCATGCTGTTTATACGTACACCACTGTGAGAATTCTCCATGCCCACTTCAACCTTAGTAGTTGCAACTTGACAGGTCGTCTTTCAAGCGGGAATGCAAACAAGTGTCAAGTTAAGAAAACAATAGTTAAAAAAGCGGTCATGTGCTTGAGTCCGACCTTTTGCAAATCGAACTATGCAGAGCGGTGTAGTTATTGAATTCTCTACACAACGAACCACACCATTTAGTTAACTTGTGGGATGTGCTTCAGATAAGTGTACGGCAGTGAGATGTCGAGGTTTAACACTGGTGTTACTGACAGTGATGGTGAGGGCAGCCGTCCTCATCCGAATGGCGATAAGCCGGGCAACACTCAACCACAGTAATCCATTTTCGATAAGCCACCACGAGTAAGGGGACGAGATGGATCAGTGGTTAGAGCGCGGATTTACTGACCGGAAGGTCCGTGATTTGAACCCGACTTCTGCTTAGACTCGGGCAACCTGGCCCTTCGGGTGAGATGGCAGCCAGGCACCGAAAGGGTGTTACAGCTGAGCGATGGTTTTATTGGCCACGAGTAAGGGACCCATCCGTGGGCGCGGGGTAAGGCCGTACACTAGGGAACGCCATGGAGGCTTTACGTCAAAGTGGCCTCTTTCTTGTTAACAGTCGTCTATGATCGGCCACTCGCGTTCCCCATGAGTTGTTCACTTTGGAATGAAAACCAACTGCCAATAAAAAAAAACACGGACTGTAGAAACGAGAAAAACCAACAGTCTGGTTGCTGGTGAACAGCCAGAATAGCCGTTCGATACGTGTGGAACCATGGGCTTGGTAATGTACCGGAAGTAATTATGAAGTAGGTCGTTTTCCGAAAAGTCTTAGATGTTGAGTATCTCCACCATAGGAAGTTGATGGGGACGCGCCTGAAATTCCAATGGAGGGCAGTCTGATTCTGTCAATTCTGTCCGCCAAGCTGTTCTTTGATTCGCGAACCTGTTGGATCCTATTCAAAACATTCATCCTCAAATGCTTGGGGGGATTCTTTTGATGTAGGTGAAGACGCAGACGCTAAATTGGCGTGCTCTGATACGCTTTCCATTGACATTCATTCATTTCTTACAAATGTGCATTTAAATAAAATCTGCGATGTTTTATGAGATCACATTTTGGGTTTCTCGGGGATACGATGCACGTGACATTCGGATTGAAGGAAAATCCTACAGAGGAATCAGTGGTGTTGCAGCGTGCAGTACAACAGATTAGCTGACATTTCGGGAAAGATTGAAGATAGCGACTCCCCAAATCTTTCGCAGAGACGGTGTGTGTTACTGATATCTTTCCATAGTCCCTCCTATACTAAACGCTTTGACAGCTTTAATAAGGCTCCCAGATGCACTCACAGATGCAACTACGCGGACGAGCCTTCTGGAATTCAGTAATTCATTGCGCTTTGAACAGAACAACCACGGGAAAAGCAGGATGGTTCTTGCACGCAAGGAGTTCTCTGTCTTCTAGAACAGGCTAGAGGAAAACAATCAACAGGTTTATGGGTATAGCATCCGAAGAATGTGCACCGACACAAGTCTCATCCGGACAGTACTCATTCTATCCTAACGCAATTATTGCGATCCGTTCACACCAAAGAGATGAGACACTGGACTCGAGGTTCACTTGTATTAGGCCTATTCAGAACCAGAATTTGAACGGCGCACGTCTGGTAAAAGTGTCCACCAGGAAACATCATATCTGAATATGATCAATTTACTCAAGGTATCAAAACACAGCAACCTTACGCATCAGGTCGCACAGCGAAAGCTGAAATCAGCTAGATGATTTTTACAGTTGGTTGCGTGATTTGTAGAAGTTTAATTAAAAGTGCTCTCGTTCGAACAGCCCACATTCTGTCCTGGCGCAACTATTCTGGTGAGTCCACACCAAAGACGGAACTCGGGTCCGTGAAATCAGCTAGATGATTTTTACAGTTGGTTGCGTGATTTGTAGAAGTTTAATTAAAAGTGCTCTCGTTCGAACAGCCCACATTCTGTCCTGGCGCAACTATTCTGGTGAGTCCACACCAAAGACGGAAACTCGGGTCCGTGGCAGACCCAGTAACCATGATTTCCAAGCTAACCTGCCGGTGGATTTGTAAGAAATGACACGCGACAGCAACTACGGGACTAGTTCGGCAACTTTGTTATGTTGCGCACAGGGTACCAAAAGGATCACCTTCTGTTTCGTTGATTGATGCTCAGGGTCCGCTAATGGGGTGAGTGTGAGTGAGTGAAGAGAAGTTGTGGAGACGAGGTTGTACATGGAGTTTCACCAATGGTTGCGGTGAGTTCGGAGTTAAACTCACTGTCAACATGTACTGAATAGTCGAAGCTAGGTCAGATAAGGATACCCACTTGGTTCACAGTTCACTGCTAAACAAAACTCACCACATTCCCTGGGGTTGATCCCACGCTTATCTAGTAAGTTGAATGACGAGATTGTCAAGGTTCACTCGGACCATATAGGTCAACATTTGGCAGTTTAGCTGGCTACAGTAAACTATGGTAGGTACTGTCAACTAGAACTGAGTTCTGACCGCACATCATCACCCTGAGAAGATCCTTCTATAAAAAAGATCAAACAGTAAAAATGGATCTGTAGTATCTCCCGCCTGAGGGATTCTTCCCAAAAGGGAATCGGTGTACCTGTGGGAAGATGCACGGTTTTCGCGACAGACCACATAATATGCAATGTTTCCAACAATGCTTTCAAACACAAGCTAGTCAGCGCTCTGCTCTAAGGGGAGGGAAGTGATGACAGTCCAGAGACGGATCAAAGAAATCAACAGTATTACCGTACTTGTAAAACCCATAGCCCATTAACAGGTAAAACTTGAAACGAGTCTAAAGTGCTGCACCACAGTGCCTAGTTCAGACTGCCACGGGGGGATGGCTCAACGACAGCTTGAAAGTGGCTCATCCGACCCCTCCGCTGCCCACCTACTCTCCTCTAGTATTGGAGACAATGTTCCGGTAGAACGCACTGGCATACAGTAGGGGACATGGGTGAACACATATCAAGTGCTTGGAGCGACGGTGCAGTCATCTTCAAAGGGTGACAGTTTATCACGCGGGGAACCGGAAACTTTTCGGGTCCTATTCGCAAAGTAAATCCAGAGCGGTAGAAGCTGATAATTGGTAGTAGTGACCACTTATCAAATCAAGTTATTTTGGTGCACAGCGATGTCCGAAATTTCGACGAACACACAAGATGCGGGCGGACACAACTGGACTAGATGAAATTGTTATGCGTTTCGAGTTACGTAATCTTGAAAGTCTTTGTTCAGGCTCGCATTCACTAGTGATACTATCCAAGTAGCATCACCCGCAAGTTTATGTGAACAATTGTCCAAGAACTAATTCTATGTTGATCGTCTTAGCTGAAACGGCAACCACCAGTCAACAGATTGGTTTTAGCGGCAATAATTGTTTGCCATGGTCGGTGAATCACTCAAACGCATGGACGTCGGACGCTGTGCATTCCCTGAACGGGTTCCAAACTTATTCGTTGATGATGTTTTTCCAGGAAGACACCCGTTTTTTAGAAGCTCAACTCTCATTCCCACGACTATCACGGCTTTAACGATGCGAATTTCATGACCGTATTTGTCGGGGCTATTCGTCCAAACATCCATGCATGGAGTACGGGCCGCCTCGTGCCTGTCGTCTACCCCTGGAACAGCGGTTTGTGGTTAGGGTCAGTGAAAATGAATGACAACAAACCAAGGCATTCGGGATGAAGTGAAGAGCTACCATGCCCTTTCTGTTTCAGAGATGGACGAAAACAAAGGCGTAATTGTAAACTAAAACTAGTGCGACCAGAGGATAAATGGGCCGATTTGGATGAGAGTATATGATCATAAGGGGGTGTCACAATCGAACAGGTGACAGCTTACCTTTACAAGTAGTTGTTAAAAAGTGGGGCGTAAGGGGGTGTCACAATCGAACAGGTGACAGCTTACCTTTACAAGTAGTTGTTAAAGTCAAAAGTGGGGCGAGATGCCTCAAGTGGTTAGAGCGCCAATTTACTGACCGAAAGGTCCATGGTTCGAACCCAACCTCTGGCTCTCGACTTCCCCTGTCTAGGCTTGGGCAACCTGGCAGTATCCCAGCCCTCGTGCAACCTTTGGGTGGTATAGCAATTAGGCACCGAAAGGGTGCTACAGCTGAACGATTTTTTTAAGGTCAAAAGTAACAAAGGGGAAGAATATGAAGTATATGTAGGTCACAGTTTGACAAATTTTAGTTGAGTTTGTTAGAAGACAATGTGAGCTCAAGGTGATTGGGACAGGGGAGACCGAGTGGGGCGCTCAATAGACGCGCGCTGGCGTACCCTTACCTTACGCTTACTAGCGTAAAAAGGCCAAGGCGATCCGAACTGAGTCATAATCTTCACGAAGGAAACTACTCACAAGGCTGCTGAAAACTCTTCGACAGCCCACGACCGGTTTCGCCCTTCTTGGGGCTCATCAGGTAGTCGCAGTCCCCGGGTTTCCATCAACCGTATGTTCTACTTGAGTCATAATCTATTTCGAACATACAACCAACCTCCTTGTGCGCAATAACAGTTTGGCATTTTATCACTTAATGGTGTAGGCTCGCGAGAAACTTGACGGTGCCATAGTTCTCGTGCTTACTACTGACTGAAACACACGAAGGGACTGAGATTGTTCACCAACCTGGTAGTCGGCCGCCAGAAAGCATTCCAGCCGCCTTTCGATCCTCAATCAGTCGCCACTTCAGACCAGCCTCCTCAACATGGGTTGGCTGGCCCAGAGGATCTAGTTGCCCGATATCGCCTGATGCATTCCACGGGGGCTGTTCTCGTCGTCGCGCTTCGGCAGCAGCTGCATCCTCATCGTCCCGTTCAAAGTCATGATTCCGAGCTTGTTCTTCACGAACCAAAAATAGCTGCAAAGCGCAGATAGGGAAAAAGGAATATAAACCGACGTCGGCAGTTTGGTCAGAAAACATGAAGGTTTTTCGCATTCGCGTGTACGTGATTACTATAAGTGACGACCTACTTGTCACGTGACAAAGAAGTTCAAGTAACCCCGCTGATGGCGCCTCATTTCAACACAGTGTTCATAAATGTTCCTTTCAATGATGGGTCACACCATATCTCTTGACTGCTTTCCCTGAGGAAATAAGGCCTTCTACACCAAGTAACTTTTTCTACTTTTTACCAGGGTAATTTCTAGCGGCACGGCGCTGTTCATGATGATAACAATCTAGGCCTCGGATGAACTGTATGACAATTCTAGTTTATGGAGACGGGAATTGGAAAACGCCGGTTCACCGGAACGAGCGACAGCAAGCTTAAGACATACGTGAACAATTTCATCCAGAGCTGATGTCATAGGAATACGATCACGACTGCTACTATCCTCATTATCTGCATCATCTTCCTCGTCTGACAGGCCGGCTTCCTCGTCTTGTTCAACTGGTGGTTTCGGAATGTCCAAGTGGACCAGTCGCGTTCGATTCTCCGGACAGTGTTCACAGAGGTTGGCCAGTAAGCAGAGTGTCAGGACCAGGAGATCGAAACGTTTATTGGTCGGTAACCGTGGAGGTAGATTGAGCACACATTCAAGGATGGTCTCCAGTAGACCAGGGCATCCGCCGAGACGATCACTTGCGAATTCTTCGGGGGTGAAAAAAGTGAAGTGTTCAAAATAGATGAGAATAGGAAACATTGGAAATAGGGAAGTTTTGGGAGAAGTACTGTTCTGGAAATAACCACAGGAGCTGAAATGTCCTAGTAACTGGTGCCCGGGATTCTGTGGGTCCTGTCGATCAATGGTAACGGAAGGACTGAACCTGAGTAAAGTCTAGACAGGACGCGCGATCAATGTTTTCAACTCCTACCACAACACCATACACTTTCAGCACAAGTACTGGCGGTTCATTTTGTTTTGCGTCTCTTTTCTGTTTACAGCCCTTCCCCATACCTTCGGACGACGACCCCACGGTGCCGTTACTGGTCGCCACATCGTTTGCTAGCAAAGCAAAATAGTTACCTGAATACAGTGGGTCATAAAACTAGCTACCAGAAAGCGGTATGTGTACGAGCTATAGGGCTTACACGGCGAGCATTACAGCAACTTTCGTGTGCACGCCCACTAACTCATATGCACCATAAAAATGCTTGCGTCCTGTTTACCAGATGACCCCAGCTACAGGCAGTAATGGTGTTGGGGTTCAGCTCCTCGACTTCACAGAGCCATCCGACATAAAGCTACCTACTACACTTGGCTCGTACGGGTGCAGATGAAGGAGCACGAGGACAATGCTCCCTGAGAAATGGGAGTTAATCAAATTGCTGCGTAAGTACTGGTACTTACACGATTTCGGCTCATAAAGTACTTCACACAAAAATTGCACTGAGGCGATGGCTTCGGAGAAGCAGTCCTATTTAGTGCTCAACAAAGTTTGGTTTACATGGAAGGGATAGTCATCGGTGATGACTCTGTTCTGACCCATCTGAAAGAGGGAATTACGTTCAAATAGCCCGCTGGATGCATTCAGGACTATGCTGTACACAAGAAGTGGATTGCCCTTACATAGGCAACCAACCACTCTCTTACTTCCACTCAGCTTCTGCGAGAACATCCTTCCAAGTGGGGCGTAAACCAGCTATCACCCCACGCAGACGATCACTTGCGAATTCTTCGGGGGTGAAAAAAGTGAAGTGTTCAAAATAGATGAGAATAGGAAACATTGGAAATAGGGAAGTTTTGGGAGAAGTACTGTTCTGGAAATAACCACAGGAGCTGAAATGTCCTAGTAACTGGTGCCCGGGATTCTGTGGGTCCTGTCGATCAATGGTAACGGAAGGACTGAACCTGAGTAAAGTCTAGACAGGACGCGCGATCAATGTTTTCAACTCCTACCACAACACCATACACTTTCAGCACAAGTACTGGCGGTTCATTTTGTTTTGCGTCTCTTTTCTGTTTACAGCCCTTCCCCATACCTTCGGACGACGACCCCACGGTGCCGTTACTGGTCGCCACATCGTTTGCTAGCAAAGCAAAATAGTTACCTGAATACAGTGGGTCATAAAACTAGCTACCAGAAAGCGGTATGTGTACGAGCTATAGGGCTTACACGGCGAGCAGTGTGACGTGCATTACAGCAACTTTCGTGTGCACGCCCACTAACTCATATGCACCATAAAAATGCTTGCGTCCTGTTTACCAGATGACCCCAGCTACAGGCAGTAATGGTGTTGGGGTTCAGCTCCTCGACTTCACAGAGCCATCCGACATAAAGCTACCTACTACACTTGGCTCGTACGGGTGCAGATGAAGGAGCACGAGGACAATGCTCCCTGAGAAATGGGAGTTAATCAAATTGCTGCGTAAGTACTGGTACTTACACGATTTCGGCTCATAAAGTACTTCACACAAAAATTGCACTGAGGCGATGGCTTCGGAGAAGCAGTCCTATTTAGTGCTCAACAAAGTTTGGTTTACATGGAAGGGATAGTCATCGGTGATGACTCTGTTCTGACCCATCTGAAAGAGGGAATTACGTTCAAATAGCCCGCTGGATGCATTCAGGACTATGCTGTACACAAGAAGTGGATTGCCCTTACATAGGCAACCAACCACTCTCTTACTTCCACTCAGCTTCTGCGAGAACATCCTTCCAAGTGGGGCGTAAACCAGCTATCACCCCACGCCACATTCGGTTGGTCGGTGTGGTGTAAAGGTTGTACGATTGAGCACCTTAACGTTAACTGATTAGACCTCGCTTTCTGTTGTATAAAACCAATACCATAAACAGATATAGAATACTTACCATTGTGTGACACGTTCACCAGAAAGCGGAAGATTCCGAGCAGGCAATCGACTAAAATCAGCTGGTCGGCAGGCGGCTTGTCTGGTCTGCCTTTGCCTAGGTCACTAACTTGTGTCGTACTGCGTTGAACTGGTGTAGTCTGTTTCGGCAAATGTGATGCACACACACGGATGCAGCGGATAAAACGATTGACCAGCATTCGGTCCCGATAGCGTACGAGGTAGGTTTGGTTATCCGTGTTCATATAGGTCATCTGGGAAAACGGATTAGCACAAGGGTAAAAGTTGACACGGTAACGCGGCTGATTGCAGTTGGTCCTGACGTTTTTAGCAATGGGCTGAAACTATCACGTGTGTCAAATATCATGAACTGTTGCTTCGCAAAAAATATTTGGCTGTTTGGTGATGCATAAAAACATCTGCTGTTGTGCGAGTTTACGTAGGTTCTTGTTAAGATGGGCCTAGTGGACCACCAGAAAGCGGTATGTGTACGAGCTATAGGGCTTACACGGCGAGCATTACAGCAACTTTCGTGTGCACGCCCACTAACTCATATGCACCATAAAAATGCTTGCGTCCTGTTTACCAGATGACCCCAGCTACAGGCAGTAATGGTGTTGGGGTTCAGCTCCTCGACTTCACAGAGCCATCCGACATAAAGCTACCTACTACACTTGGCTCGTACGGGTGCAGATGAAGGAGCACGAGGACAATGCTCCCTGAGAAATGGGAGTTAATCAAATTGCTGCGTAAGTACTGGTACTTACACGATTTCGGCTCATAAAGTACTTCACACAAAAATTGCACTGAGGCGATGGCTTCGGAGAAGCAGTCCTATTTAGTGCTCAACAAAGTTTGGTTTACATGGAAGGGATAGTCATCGGTGATGACTCTGTTCTGACCCATCTGAAAGAGGGAATTACGTTCAAATAGCCCGCTGGATGCATTCAGGACTATGCTGTACACAAGAAGTGGATTGCCCTTACATAGGCAACCAACCACTCTCTTACTTCCACTCAGCTTCTGCGAGAACATCCTTCCAAGTGGGGCGTAAACCAGCTATCACCCCACGCCACATTCGGTTGGTCGGTGAGGTGTAAAGGTTGTACGATTGAGCACCTTAACGTTAACTGATTAGACCTCGCTTTCTGTTGTATAAAACCAATACCATAAACAGATATAGAATACTTACCATTGTGTGACACGTTCACCAGAAAGCGGAAGATTCCGAGCAGGCAATCGACTAAAATCAGCTGGTCGGCAGGCGGCTTGTCTGGTCTGCCTTTGCCTAGGTCACTAACTTGTGTCGTACTGCGTTGAACTGGTGTAGTCTGTTTCGGCAAATGTGATGCACACACACGGATGCAGCGGATAAAACGATTGACCAGCATTCGGTCCCGATAGCGTACGAGGTAGGTTTGGTTATCCGTGTTCATATAGGTCATCTGGGAAAACGGATTAGCACAAGGGTAAAAGTTGACACGGTAACGCGGCTGATTGCAGTTGGTCCTGACGTTTTTAGCAATGGGCTGAAACTATCACGTGTGTCAAATATCATGAACTGTTGCTTCGCAAAAAATATTTGGCTGTTTGGTGATGCATAAAAACATCTGCTGTTGTGCGAGTTTACGTAGGTTCTTGTTAAGATGGGCCTAGTGGACCACCACTGCATAGGTTGCACTGGCTCGGCCACGTGCTGCGTATGCCTGTCGACCGACTTCCTCAAGGGGCTCTTTTCTCACAACCACGTGAAGAGTGGAACCTAGCCAGAGGCGGTCAAACAATGACTTGGCAGCGAAGTGTGAAAGCCATTACCAGTAGACTCAGCTGCGCTAATCATTGCCATCTTCCTGGATGGGGACCCCGAGACGGGCCAATGGATAGAGACATTGTCAGACATGGCCCAGTCGCGCCCCCAATGGCGCTCGTGCATCCAAGCTATTGCCTCAAATGCGTAGCTGTCTTCCCAATCCCCCACTTGACAGCCTACTGACAGTGCTGTATTTACGCACCAATTTATCATCTCCCGCTGCAATGCGTATTACAGCTGACAATGATGATGGTGATGGAGTAAAATTGTTTCATTTCCGAAGGAGTATGCTCCTGACATCATTACAACACCACTAAGGAAGATCCAGTAGAACTTTGAAGATGTCTTAATAGCCGCATTCCCGGAAAATTTACATGGCGTTGTCCCAAACACAGTGAGGTATCACGCTGAAACTTGACGGGTTTGACAAACAGGTAGCCAGTGCTCATAGTTATGGCATCATGTTTAGGCCGGCTGAAGACTTGAAACAGGCCTCTACACGCCTATCTTGTTCTACATCATCATCATCATCATCATCATCATCAACAACAACAACATACATTCAACGTCAGATGCACTCGGATGCCAACCGCCCATGACTCTTCTATTATGCACAGTCTTCCAGCGGTTTGAGTATCACTGACCGACAAATCCGACTTGAATGACAGGAATTCACAGGTTCGTGCTGGACATGTAAGTGGGCTAAGCTGAGGGAGCTAAGCTTCTACAGAACCATTCAGCTCTAGATATAGGTCAGTCAGCAACAGTGACCACGAAGTGGATGCACGGTGCAGGATCGCGATCTCTGCGAATTCGATACGTCTTCACAATCACCGTAGTATTCTGTCCCACTTCTAAAGCCATTTGGTTGTGCAACACAGTTCTGCACTTCTAATCACTTCCACCAGTTGTCGAATTTCTGCGCATTTTTCCCGACACTGCACGACCCCCAAGCGTTCTGCACCCCTCCCTTCTATTTTCTCGCCTAACAAGCCTCAGACGTACATGTGCCGGTTTCGTTTTGCCTGTTATTTAAACATCTCGATTTGGTTTGGGTGTGTCTTTTACTGAACGGTAATTATGTTTCCAGAGATCCCTCAGACAGTCAGTTGTTCCTTCACTCCCCTACAACGTGGATGATAAAAAACTAAGAAACAGCACTCCACATCGTCCACAGCGGACACAACTCGGAACACTGAACACGGATTCATGGGCAACAATTTTGCAGACACACAGCAGTTGGATTGCCCATTACGACGGCTATCGCAAATTAGCACTGGTGAAAGACGGTTACAATGAAAAAAAAAACAAGGCTGAGCTCTGGAAAATATAAAAAGAAACCCGATTGTCCACGACATAAACTCGGAAAAACCCACATTCTCAAGTAGTTTTGTGTAGTGACACACACGTCTCAGTTTGTCCAGTGCGAATCCATCCAGTCCGGTAGGGTTGGCACTGGAACGCCAAACGGATTTGGAACGATGTCGCCCACGTTCAGTAGGGTCTAAGTCAGCCAAGTAGTCCACAGCATCTGAAGCAGCATCCGCAACGCGATCCAGTCCACCACCCTGACGCAGTTCCGCTTTGAACCAGTCGGCAGCTTTCCGAGTACCAAGATTCAAAATGGACTCAAGGACAAGATCGGCAGCCTGTAGGTAAGAATAGGGGATTAAAACTATGTTGATTATCAAAATTAAATAAAGACTTTTCTTGAAAAGAAGCCCTTGGAAAGAGCACGCTTCCATCAGAGACATCCCACACTAAATAATGGTTAACGAGGGTTGCTTATCATCGGAGTTTCTTTTGGGATACTACGGTAGACCTCAATAAGGTACAGAGTACGTGTTGAGTTACTCAGGTGTGCAGTTTACAAACTGCTGTCAGACGAACAAGCCTTCATCAACAACAATCGCGCTCAACCGACCCGCCTACAACCAGATGCGGCACCAGATACTGGTACCGAATTCAAAATAATCTATTTATACGTATAGGTGTGCGTACAGGCTGTTCACTATCGGTGTGCATAATAAAGTGGGTTGTACGTTTCCACGGGCAGTTAAACCGGTCGACTACTTCCCCCGACGAAGGTGGTGTCATACGGGGAAATCTGCGATTCCGATTTACAGAGCATGTTTCCATCATTTGTCCCAACTCAGACTATCACGCACGAAATTTCACGCCATGTCTTAGCAAGCAATATACCTCAACTAGATCCAGCGACTTTACTGGCGACGGCACGAGCGCAGCTGGTAGACCTAGGCTGCATGGTTGAACTGAGTCAATAGCTTGGGAGTGCCCTGATCAAGCATCTTGAACGTTGACTTTCCAAGGCTTGACACTGTTCACCAAAATACGCGTAGTCATGGGCCTTCTACCCATAGAAGATATTAGAGCTAATGCACTCAGTGTTCATTGGTGCGTTCCAGCAGCAGTCGGAGATGAGATGGAGTAGTGTGTCCAGAAGCTTGATAATGCAAGTGGCTACATTGGTTTTGCATCCACATAACTGGTAAAGTGCAGCTAGTTTGCACGAATAGTGATCTGGATCCAAACGATTGATTGAATCACATGATGCAACTGCTGTGATATGATTTAATGCCCAAAAGTACACGTTGTCCGGCCGTAAAGAGCCTTCGACAGCCAACTAGGGGACGTACAAACATAAGGAACATACAACCCACTTTCAATTAGACTGCCTGCTAACGTCGATTAGTCAATCTTATTACTGAGATTTGTCGGTTCCATCCAAAGGTGCAACTGTGTATTGTAAAGTTTACCTGGAGCTTGATACAGAAGAGAAGACTGATTTATTCTCCAAACTTGACATTTTTGTTGCTAACGTTATGTGAGCAATCGAGATGACATCTTCAGTGGTTGAATGGGGGAGTGCCGCGCGACGCACAACTACTAACCTACGCACTGATAATGTCACCTTTGGAGTGTTTTCGTCACAATGAGTGGTGTACCAAACTGAGACAACACAATCACTCATATCACTGATTTCGCAAAACGATAGCAACTCTGAGACCAATACCTGAATCTACCCCTGATAGGAATTTTGAGAGGAAGCACTCCTGGTTCGGAAGCGCCAATCTCAGATTGCCTTTCGTGCATTTATAGAAACAGCCTGTCCTTTTTAGGAAGCGACTTGACGTCAGTTTTGAGTACTTACATCACCACAAAATGTACGAAGCACCGATATTTAGGTCGTGTTGATTTTGTGGGTGCTTCCGACCGCTTCATCATCATCATCATCATCGACAGCATGACATCAGTGTTCAACACCGATGCTTCGCTGCCGCTTCCTTGCACGACAATGCCATGTGAGGACCCTAATTTTTACCGTGGAAATGAAAACGAGGTCACTTTTCCCCTAATCACGTGTCTCATATTTCTTCGGACAACAAAGCCTCTCTTTTTGGGAAAAATCCCAGTACGCTGCCCCACGAGAGATGCAAAGAATAACGATGATAATGTAGGGAACGATCGACGGGTTATCAGCCAACGTTCTTTTTATCAGCGAGACTCAGGGCGACTCTTACACAAAAAGTGCATTGTAGGGATAAAATGTGGGCAACCCTAAGAAACAGCCTCCTACACGCTTCGTCCTGATTGGGATCAACCAAGTGGAGGCAGCGGTCGCGTCGGGCTTCGGTCATCACTTTCCACCGTTCACCACACCAACAAGTGTCCAAAATAGTAACAGTTACGCATAAAGTCAAAACAGATAGCGAGAAGATCCACTCAGTGAGCCTTACTATGTGGAAATCAGTGGTGGGGCCACCAAAAATTGTAGTGTCACATCAGAGAAAATAAGAAATCACTTCAGATCGACCTTTAATCTGCAGCATCCCGTAGGTCAGCGATCCGCGCCAAAGAACGAATCACTTTAAGCCGTTTCCTCTTTGTTGAGAATCAGTGGCACCGCGTGTTTCGTTGATGTACAACTTTTCTATTCGGGCATGGGTTGCTGGTCAGCCACCATGTGATATAGCGTCACCATCGTCCAATCATACGGCTTCACGTCACGTGGTCGGGGGTTGACTGGCTGCTCCAATGACAGCATTTCCGACAGAAATACCACGTGCTATCTTCGATTTCTAGGCAGATTAGTTGTCCTTTCGCGAAAAAAACTACTTCTCAAGGAAAGGTTGGGGTGAGACGTTCAAAACACTTTCAGAAAGATCACGTAAATAATTTTCTACAGTGTCAACTCCAATCGGGAATTCCGATACGATAAGTTGCATTTTTTTCACGCCAAGTATCCAAGAAGGATTGGATATGTAATTCCAATTGCCAGGTGTACAGTCTCGACGACCTATATTGGCGCTGAGCATCTGAAGCGTTGGTGTTATACAAACGAGTATGGGATAATTGATTGCTGATCCTGGTATATCGGATCCTAATATGCGTCCACGATCAGTTATAATGCTGAAAAGGGCAAGACAAATGAGTAGACGGGTCGAAAAAGGGAGAACCATGGCGATTGAAAGAAGCTTCAGGGAGCCAACCGGTCCTCTAGAGGGGGAAGACCCTGGAAAACATCGATTGAGTATCCGTTACAAACTTCTCGTACCGATAGTTGCAGCGTGAATTCTAGGATGAGCGGAAAGAACTGCGGACAGTGGCTTGTTGCACACAATGTACGAAATAAACCTATACATAGCCCTTCAGAAAGATGACGTTGAAGGCGTGTTCGAGGGATAAGTGCTGGTTACCATCACCCACTCAGTCTCTGTGACCGGTTAACGGATTATGTGTTAATGGGTTCAGCGACTCGCGGTTTGTGGATGACATTTGAGCTGTTGGTTGTAGCCGACGACACACAGCAGGAAAAATAAATATACACCAAAATGCGATGGGTCTAGGAGAGGAGTGTTGCACACCGAACGGACGTACCGTTAATTGCCGTGTCATTTGCAAATGTCGTGTGTTCAGCCCCGCCGTGCCTGCCGTCAGGGGCGCCGGAGCCAGGGATGCTGGAGCTGACAAGGCAGTCGACAAAATCGGGCGTTTTGGTGAAACAGTAGTCGGTTGGGATGAAGCTGAACTGGTCTCGGCTGCAGCATTACTGCTCGAATTCCGACTGTGTTGTTGTTGCTGCTGTTGTTGTTGTAAACCTTCGAGCAGCTGACGGACTCGAGTCCGTACACGGTCGGCCTCTTTGTTCGCTCGCGCAACCGCCTGTGCGCCTCCAGCATTATCAACTGCAAGAGCTGTAGGACAGAGAGAAGCAGACAATTAGGCATAAATTTAGAATCGGATTGACTGCGGCGTATCGGCAAATCGATTAACAGCAGCGCACGAAGGGCGAGGACGACCAATCGAGGTGGGGTGATAGAAAGAAAGACAGACACACGTGCTGGTGAGCGCAACTGGTAGGTAGGTAGGTAGGTGGTGTGAACACATACACACCCACAAACAGAGATAAAAACATAGGCGAGCCTTACAGCGATAGAGGAGGGTATGCCGCAGCGCAACACAACACGGCTACCGCACGTGATCGTTGCACGCCTAAAGTTGTGTGGAACTGACGATAAACTGTTCAGTTTGCACGAACGAGGTAAGTGAAATGGTGTACATTTGAGGGCGTATCCTAAGGGTGTCTCATAATAGACGCAAAATTTGATTGGGTGAGTAAACGTAACCTATCAGAGGAAGGATGACGAGGTCTCTCATTATTAGTAGCCACATAAAGGAGGTTTTGTTTGCGAGTGTTCGCTTTTTTGTCTAGGATGCATGTAAGTACGCGCATTGAAATTGTGAAACTCTATTATTCCCTTGGTGAAAGCGCCACCGCTACACTTCGTGGTTACAAAACCAAACATGGTCTCATCAAAGATCCTTTCACCGTGTCGACCATTACACGCTTGATTGCGAAATTCGAGTCCACTGGATCTGTATTGGATCTTCCTGGCAAAGGGAGAAAGTCTTTGAGTGATGAAAGAACGCCCATTGTACAGAATGCCGTCGAGCAACTTCAGTCCCAGAGCACCATGGCACCTTTATCAACAACTCAGGTGTCTCAGTTGACTGGCATTCCCCGCGCCAGCGTGCATCGTATTATGAAACGCCACCATCTCTATCCGTAGAATATCTTATTTCTCCGAGGGTGAACGTTATACAAGAAAGCGGAATGTACTGCTTGATTGTGAGGAATACCGATGGACTATTGTGGATTAAAGAATTGTTTTTCCTTAATCACTCGGGTGCCGTTGCAAAAATTTCGACATACAACGACGCAGAAACGCGACCCACCGCTCAGTATGTTTTCAGCTTGAAACGAATCTCAGACAGTTTGGTCACAAGCTCGCCAAGATGATCGTCGGGTAATCTGGTATCTTTCCACTTTTCGCAAACAAATGCATGTAGGCCATCAATTTGTAATATTCAAGGCGGATTGTAGACGCTAAATGGCCGCGTACTTTACGTGACTACTACCTATGCTGCTATGTTGTCTCGGATAACGTGTGCGTTTGAATAAGGACTCAGTCAGTGCATACCGAAGCACGTCCAATCGGCCGTCCTAACCCAGGTTGCTGAGCGTAGTAGATCCTGGGGCGAGTTGGACCAAGTGGTTAGACGCGAATTTAACTGACCGGAAGGTCCGTGGTTCGAACCTGACCTCTGCCTCTCGACTTCCCCTGTCTAGGCTTGGGCAACCTGGCAGTATCCCAGCCCTCGTGCAACCTCGGGTGGCATGGCAGCTAGTCATCGGAAGGGTGCTACAGCTGAACGATTATTATTATTATTAGTAGTATATAGCGACTATATATCCAGCTGCAACAACTACATTGAATCGTCTATCCTACTTGTGCACAAACAGGTGTTCTACCTAGACCTAGTCCCAAGTCAGTGGGCAAATCTCGGTGAGAGTTTTGATTTCATGGTGCAGGATGACTGGTCTAGCAGAGGACTGAGCAATCGGATGACGAGTTTGCGGAAATGCGAAACAAGGACCGGATGCGTCTGGAAAGATCCAACCCTAACAGCAATCTTTCTTTACTCCATCTTGCCGAGGACGTTGGTTGCGGCATCAGCATTCTAGCCGGTACAGGTTCATTACCATTACCAGGTAATGCTAATGAATGGACAACAGGAAGGGCGATTCCGGAGAATCACAAACTTGTATCAATGAGGTGTTGGTAGGCGTGGCTCGGTTGATACTTTTGGCCTTCAACTTTCAAGCTTTGGCCTCATTTGGAATAATATTTCTGTACTAGATGATTGGTAAAGTAGAAGTATTCACTGAACGTCATATACATGGTAAGTATTACGTGCAAGATCCTCCTCGAATTGAATACGATTTTTTCGAATTTGGCGCGAGGATGAATAAGTCCCTGAGATCACCAGTAAAGTGAAAACGGTGAAACTAACAAACAGGCAGGGGAGGGGAAATCCTCATCGGTATTTTGGAGAACGATAACGACATCTATAGACTTTGGGAAGAAAAACGATACATGAGCATGAATTCGGATGAACTCTGCATGGTATGGCAGTACGAGCTCGTTGAGCTGCCAGACGTGTGCGGCACACACGCACAGCATCAGGATTAACCTATTTTGTCTCGACACCGTAGGCGTAGGTGAATCAGGTGATTAGATCACTTGATTCAATCGTGAAGTTAACAGATTCCTGTTGCTTTCCCAGAGACCTTGAAACGAACTGTTTTTCATGACGAATATTCCTGTGGTCAGCTGGGATGGGTGCATATACCCCACGCTTGCTCAAGGCCACATATCAGAAAGATGACAGCTTCGCTCTTTATTACATTGACATCGCAGCATTCTTCAGTGGAACCAAATAAACGAACCTCATTTTGTCGAAAACATTGCTCATAGGTCACGACGTGTGAAGAAACCTTCATAGATCCAATGAACCGTGTTCATGGTATCACATACAAATACGAACATCTGTGAGAGACATTCTCTACATAATGTTTTTATGAGAATTTCGTGCCCTCCGAACTTTTCCACATCCATTTTAGTACGCTTCAACTAATCCTGAGGGTGCAGTGGTGTTTGGTTGAGTGTGCGCATTGAGAAGGAACTTGAACATTCCATAAGCTAGAAGTGGAGCATGACAGTATGCAAACGGTGGGGAGAAGGACGAACAACGTGGATCGAATAGGACAGTTACATTGAAACACGAACCCAATATGTGAGAATAGTTAAGTAACCGTGGGCGAGGCCGGGAATAAACCAACTACTCACCCGCCCGTAATAGCGTTAAGGGTGAGATGGCTCAGTGGTTAGAACGCGCATTTACTGACCGGAGGGTCTGTGGTTCGAACCAGACATCTACCTCTCGACTTCCCCTGTCTAAGCTTGGGCAACCTGGCAGTATCCCAGCTCTTGTGCCTCCCCGGGGGCATGGCAACTAGGCACAGCTGAACGATTACCTTTTTTTATTAACAGAATTAGAAGCTCGATCAAATTTTTAACATCAAATAACACAGTGTTTCCCACTCTCTGATAGGTTCGATATTAAACAGTCAAGGTCTTTTTGACATACTGATCTCCGAGAAACCACGGCGGCCGATTGAGACACGCGACTGCCTGTTTTGCTTGTAGCAACCCCTGCTGTCGAAGTAAGGAAACGCAACAGATGCTCGCAACATTGTCTGACGGAAGGGTGGTGTTACTATATGTGTATGACCGACAGAAGGCCAAAGCTATGAGTAGGGATGTACGAATACACGCAAATAGCAACGTGACAACAACGTACGTTAACAGTACTTCCTTTCCTGTACGACTCCAAGCAGAAACGCGCAAAAAACCACTGATTAATGTTAATTCCCACCCCAAGCATATTCTGGGGTAACCGGCACGTGTCGTCATATAGTGGATTTGCTTTTCGACTGGTTCGATTCCATGGTTAGTCAGTGTCGTTCGGTTCAGTTCAATTGCGTCCAGAGCAGCCCATTTCAGAGTTTTTTTCGCAGTATTCGGATCATTGCGATCGATAGGCTAGATTTGGCAACAGGTGACCAAATCACAGGTGTAGAATTCGGATGCTGTGAAGAAGAAGAAACATTCAGCTGTAGCACCCTTCCGGTACCTAGTTGCCATGCTACCCGAAGGAAGCACGAGGGCTGGGATATTGCCAGGTTGCCCAAGCCTAGGCAGGCAAAGTCGAACCACGGACTTTCTGGTCGGTAAATTCGCGCTCTAACCACTTGCGCCATCTCGGACGCTGTGGCATTCCACCAAGGGACTTTTTTTAGACCGGATGTTCATCTGATAAATAATGAAACCACTTGAATATTGGAAGAGTTGAACAAGGGAAAGCGTGCTTGCTAAGTATCCCGATGCAATCTGTCGATGAAAACTGTATCGGTGCTTGTAGGAACGGCGCACGTGCGAGGCAGGCTATTCGCTAGCGATCACCTAGCAAACAATGATCCCCCAGTGCCCGAGAGTGATTCCATCCGGTCCCGATTTTGCACTGTTTCTGTGAAAAATCGGTTGATCAAAAATCAACTGGCGCAAATCGTACTTGGTACAGACCGTTTTGTTTGCCTAAACTGTCCAAACATGGCCAGTACCATCTGGGCAATTCGACCAATTAGATATCTCCGGGGCCTTCGATAATGGGTTGCGTCAGTCTACTGAACTAACCCTGTGCTGTTTTACCAAGATCCCATTGATGAGTGAACAATCTGCCCCGTTTTGATGACCTCTATTCACCCGCTGATATTGAGTACTGGTCGGCAGATAAAATGCGCAACTCGATGGTAAAAGCAGCAGAGGCAATAATGGGGTCTCGTAAGTTGTATTTTTTATTTATGAATGAACCGTTTGAGCTGGTAGAGTAGAACACCAACCGGAAACTCACGATTGTGAGTAGGTGTGAATATTCCGAAGCGATTCACTTTGATGAATTCAGTGGACGTTAGATAGTGGGTCGATGAACATACAATGTGACCGAGTGGCGAGGAAAATAATCCTATAGGAAATTTCGATTATTCTGGCCTGATCTTTCACTAGGTAGACAAAATTCCGTCTAAAAAGACCCAGGCCTCTCGCAAGAGAACGAATTTGGTCGAATACGTGCGCGTTTTCCTGAAAATTCAATCACCGCAGTTATTCAGCCTTTTTCGGAGCCGTTAAAGAATGTACAATAGTCAACGCATTATAGCTTCACATAATTTTTTAAGGTACTTGAACGAACATGATACTACTTCCGCCGACGTGCTGCTGTTCAGTGCGTGTGAATTGTCGAAATGGGGGAGTAAACATCCATAAAACTGCTTGCAGACGGTTTCATTGAAATATCAACGACGCTTGTCTGTAACAAGTGCGGATCAACAGTTTAAACTACATCGGAGGCTAGTACGGCGGTACTATGCTTTCCAACAAACCGAGCTTAACGTGGGTAGTTCAGGAAGCATAGACAGCCGTTGGTTCGTTCGCTGAGCCATGCAACCAATCACGCAATGCTATGATCCGCCTAATACAGACACACTGATGATGTCAACTCCGACATAAGTATCGACCTGAAAAGGGCGAAATCAGCCGTGAACCGTCGAAGCGCTTTCATCGATTCTATGAGCCGTACCACATTGAGAAAAAACTAGGTTGTTCAGTTGAGGTCTGTTGCGGCCTTGTCCTGTCGGGAAATGTGTACTTTGAATCAAAGTGTTCGGAGCAGACTCAATATGCGCATCAATCGATCGTTTTACCGCATGCCAGAGTGTGCTTTCTAGCTTGTCATCCATTTTAGTTTGTAATGGCGAGAACAGAACTGGAAGTGTACTATTATAGTACATGAACACCGTAATCATTGATTCCTCAACCAATAAGCTTGTTCATCCAGAGATCTCAATTAGTTTTGCGATCGAAATGAACCAGTGGAGTTTCAGTGTTCCAGATAAACTTCTGTTACCAACAGGGTTATCTGTTCCAGATTGCATGAGGAAGTTTGGGAATTTCGTTCTACAAGTGAAGCCAATCTATGCCGAGAAGCAGTGCACAACTGTTTTATCCTTCTTGGAAATCATCAGCAGGGCGTATCTCACGAATCTACAGGGCGATTGAAACTCACATCCCGGGCTAATGGTTTGAAAATCGCACAGGATATGGCACCGTTACTGACAAACTATACGTGATTCAGAAGAAAGAATAACTTACAATAATCTCACATGAGAATTCGTCACTCGAAAGAGTCAGTCAACAAGTGATCGTGTGACGTGAATCGCATGAGTAGAGGAACGATTAGGGGTTCGGCAGACTGCGAGTTCGAATCTTCTTGGAGATTCGTGAGATGTGTGCTAGCCCCCGGCTTTTCGCTTTGGACTGGTTTCAATTCAGGACGAAATCATCGTTGTTAGCGAATCTATCGAAATGAATAATTCAACTGTGCCTCAGCTGTGCCTTATACGGCAGAATTGTCCAGCGGGGAATCTCAGCTGTAAATTTAATGTTTTTGAGGCAGAGTTGAAAGAAGTGTTGAAAGAATGCAAAAAGTCTCTCACATCCTACCCGTTTTTACCATAACAAACAGGACGGAACGGGTAAGGGGCTGTCGACGAGTTTTCAGCAGTAGATTGTACACCTTACGTTTGTTAGGGGTAGCTCCGCGTTCGAGTGTGACAGCCCAATTACGGATATGGTCAAAGAAAACGCAACACAAAGCCTGAAATATATGACATCATCATCAATGACAGCAACATCAGTGTTGGCACTGATGCTTCGCTGACAAATAAACGTGTACCGGACCAACAGAGACAAACAAGCCAACTAAGAGAGACAAGCTGGACAAAGGAATAACAGAACTTACAGTCAGGAGCCTGGAGCAGTTTGATCACAACTGGTAGTGATTCCGCGTCGAATATATTCGGATCCCGGTCACGAGACAGGATGAAGAAGAGACCGGCTCCGGTAAGCGCCAGTGTCTGGGAGTGTGAAAAAGGTTAGTAAATCAAATCGTATCGAAATTCGGTTCCTCCGAGTGAACAAAACAATAAAACCAGGGAACAAATCAGTCTTATCGAGTTCACGATGTCTGGGTAAACGCCCCGTTGTTTCGTTTAGTATTCCTTCACATTTTTCTACATCGTACCCTTAAAGTTTACGCAAAACTTATGTAGAGTCAAACATTCGAAAGGGACAGAGCGTGTTCCTCGGTCCGACCAACAACACTGCTAATGCCAATCAATTTAACCTGTTGGATATGCCAAACTAGCGAGTATGTGTACAGATATTATCCAGGTGGCGGGACAACGAAGGTGAATTACCGTTCCCAGTTCCGAATTGAAATACTTGTCAAACGGGTATCCTACTTTTCGATTGCGGAATTTCTGTGGGACAAAAGCACAGGGTGACACGGCTTGGTAGTTCAACTCTTTGAGCATACTGTGACTGCATTCAGCAAATGTTGGCCACGTGATTCGGATGGGCCGCATACCGTGCTGCAATTTTTCTGCCGCTGGCTACCAACTCGGTCTATCTAGCAACCAATGAAACATTACCAGCCGAACAACCTCAACTTGCGCTTGCATTCACAACGTTTCGAGCCATCGATTTGAACTACCTAGATAATCTGTTGGCGGATTTACTGGTTTGGTTTAAGCCTTTGACAAGTCAACAGCTGTTTGAATAGCTTAACGGCACCCTCTTTTAATCTAGCATTTTGAACCCTTGAAAAGAGTGTTCAATAGCTGTCAGAAGCCTGGAGTTCACGCTGTTTCCGTTTCGACCACCACAAATCGTTAATGCCTCTGCCGGCATAGAAGAAGGTGGCGGCGTCTGTGCATGAAGAACCCAAAAGTCACATTTTCTGTTCGATCAGTAAGCGAGACTGCATGCATCACACCCCCTTGGGGAAGAACCATGCTGAGAAGGCGAATTCGGCGACGCACGCGACGGTTTCATTGCAAAGAACACACCCTCCCAAACCGAAGGGCAGTAACCCAGATTGAAATTTGCTGACCCCGGCCCGATTGATGACTCGATGGATGATTTCAGGAGGAGAGATTCTAACACGAAATATAATCACAGTAATGGGCTGGTAGCCGACAATCCAATCTGGGACGTGTGCATACGTTCCTACTTTGGAACATGCGGAGTTGCAGCACACGTTGAGCTTATTGAAGCAACGCACGGCAGTTATTGTGTTGTCCACCATTACTGTTAGAATGCACGTTCGCCGTAAACTATCTTGTTTTGTAGTACTCGGTCGGGTTTGGATTGTTCAAATTCTGCAACAGAATGACATAGGTGAGAGGAGTTGACGATCGGAACACTGTTGTGCCGGTGGCACAAAACACTCGCCCAATACGAAGCGAAATGTTACGCCGCGAAAGCTGTTTGAAACATTGGGATTTTACAATACGTCGTTTCCGAAAAAGTCGTTAAGGGGACACGTCTGGTTCGAGGGAACCTTTGGGTGTTGCCCACATGCAGAGTGATAACTGGTAAATTGGACATTATCTGTGCTGTGCGATTCTGAAATCCTAGAATAACAAGTCGTCCGTGTACAAATCGATCAGAACTTCAATTCGTTCACGGGAGGGATCAACACTAGAAGTGATTCAAAAGCCGTCTCCGGAGCATAAGTTTTTTACCAGAGAGGGAGAGAGTTCATTAAACAATAACCTTTTTGTCGGTTCTGCACAAATAGCACGAATGACACCCCCCAGAACAACTAGTAGGTGGCACATATCCATGAGCTCTTATCGTTCGGAACGTGCAGGGAGGGAGGTACTGTGTGGAGGTAACCTTAAACAGTATTGATTCCACTGAGTCTGTGGTCAAATTACGGAAGCATGCAGCGCACTGAGAACCCTCAGACGATATCGCGTCAGGTTTCAAATCTCAAAATTAAAACGACGACTCGAAATTTGACTGAATTCCCTGTTTTTACAATACTTCACGGTGTACTACTAGCTACGTGAATGTCGGGCCGGGATCTCAAGCTACGGAATACCGGACAATCGCCTCCACTCAGAGAAGAAAACTGGCGTACGGATACAACAGCTACACCAGAAGAGCTACCAGTCACTCACATAGTCCTTATAGGCATCGTGCAAGTTGGCGCAAATCCGTTTCACCAATCCATGGGCGCCTATCAGATACCGGAAGGAGGCCGTCAAGCATTTGTTCGCGAGAGTAAGCACACTGAAAAAGCAAACGAAGGGAGAACGGGTGTAGATGAAAAACACATCGAAGGAGCTGGGGGCTGTATCCCATGGGAAAATGGCCGTATAAAGGCGTGATCGTATATAATTAGACTAAACCACGGCGTATTACAACCGACATAAAATTGAAAAAAAATCAAATCGTTCAGCTATGGCACCCTTCGGTTCCTAGCTGCCATGTCAACGGAAGGGGGCACGAGGGCAGGGATACTGCTAGGCTGCCAAAACCTAGACGGGAGCAGTCGAGATGCAGACACCGGGTTCGAACCACGGACTTTCCGGTCAGTGATTTCGCGCCTTAACTACTGACCTATCTCGAGCTCAGTCGAAGGAAGTGGGCCACTACTTCTTATACCTGCCTTATGCCCGTTGATGTATTTGTTTTCTATCGTAATTTATGCGCTAGATAGCAAGCCTGTGAACCCGACCTCTGCCTCTTAACTTCCCCTGTCTAGGCTTGGGCAACCTGGCAGTATCCAGCCTTCGTGCTTCCTTCTGGTGGCATGACAGTTAGGCACCGAAAGGGTGCTACAGCTGAACGAATGTGCACAACAAGTGGCTTTCTGGACCATGACGTTGTACGAAAGGTCACTACGGGTTTACGCCAGAAGTGAGACCTAACAATTGTACCTACATTTCTATACCTGCATATATTATTCAGTGAAAATAATAGTAACGACAATGACAGTCGTTCAGCTGTGGGACTCTTTCAGCACACAGCCGTCGTACGGTGTATAGGAAGCATGAACACTGAAATGCTCTCAGGCTGCCCAGGCCTAGGCGGTAGCAACCGGTAGACCAGGGTTGCGTTGGAACCATGGATCTTCCGGTGAACAGTTTCGCGCATTGACCACTGAAATTTTTTTCATGGGACCTACTGTCCGACCATTCAGGAATATTCTGATGAGTTATATGCTGGCGACTGCCGTAAGGCGGCCAGAAAAGCTTCCCCCCTCTCACTTCAACGCCCGGGTACTACAAAGGTGCTTCTCTGCGATTTTTGCAGATTGCATTAGCGAGACTGTTTTTGGAGCTCTCCGACGATATTTCCGCTTTTTGACGAAAATCGTGGAAATCACCCGACGTTTAACCGTTTACCACAAAGCTCGACGTGGATTTTTTTAAAAAAATGTAAGAAGAAAATATTCAGTCCGTTCCACCGAGATTACAGTGTGGGCTTTCAAGTAAAGCTGTTTGTACCTCGCCGTTTTTGCGGCCAGGCGTTATGGCACGAATCGAGATTTAAAAAAAAAAAACAAAAGGCAGCAGAGGGTTCTATCTGTCCTCGATGTTCCAGCGTCAAGTGGGGTTTGCGGTTCTCAATGTGAGTGAAAGAAAAGTCTACCAGAACTGATGCAGTTACCACTTCAGTACATTAGAACGTCACTATATTGAACCAATTACAGCGACTAACTGACTAACTTGTCCTGAAAACTGCACTTCAATCGGTCAACAAGGTCAGGTGGTGCGACGCTGAGATGGTTTGTAACCAACTCTGAAGAAAAACTGTAGAGAATCACACCCCAGCGATATCATGAAGTGATCGTGCACACGCACAACTGAGTGAGACTGTACTACCCGGTAGAACAGAGCTTCAACCTTACCCCTGCTTACACATAAGGACAAGCGCCCTGATGCGCTCAGTCAGGGTGGTGAATATGCGAGTCTGGCCTACAATTCGTTCTAATAGGTTCACATTTGTACAGGCAAGAGCGACTCACCGGCAAGCAGTGTTTAAAGCGTATTACGTAGGAAACTTCAAAGCCTATTCAAACCGGTACCGCATATAGATGCTGAGACGCCAAATATGGATAGCCGGGGCCAGGAGCCGCTTGAACGACTACATCGCATGAGTTGTGGAGTTCCTCAAATAAAGAGGGTTGTATCAGTCACCCCAACTATACAATATCCAGATTCCACGGCTGATTGGTTGACGGTGCTGTTTGTGCGTCCAGGGACAGGATTGGATTAAGCGAGAATCACATCGATCGGACTGCGCGACGAACCGGCCACACACCAAAAGGCAAAACACACTGATTGGCTGGAATGTCAACTAATCGGACTAAGGCATTCAGCTCACCGGTTCTGGCGTCGTCACGCAAACCGTGTCACGAACATGCAGGGGGTAGCTGGAGTCGTATAAATAGCACTAAAATTCCAACCTGATTAATCATTATGCCATACTCCGTTCAGTCTGTTGGCTGCAGACCACGAACCCACGATAATTTGGTTGATTCTAGCTACTACAATCATGGTCACCGAAAAATGGAAGGCACGAAAAAAATAGTCAGATATCGGGGACGATGGCATAATTAGTCAGCTGATGTTGTCTCAAGCTTTGATGTACGCTGGTAAAAAGACAAACCTGGCCGAAACTTTATCCACCAGGCTTGTCGACTTGGTACCGTCGGGCTATTGTACGGGGACGTGCATGGTGCGGCGATGATGTAAACAATCAGTATGTAAGTGAAATTGGAGGGACTTTCGTGCATGGATCGAGCCGCCATCACGTTGCATAATTTGAAAAAGAGTTTAGACGAAGACCAGCAGCTATGTTACCATGTCATAAAAATTCATACGTTAAACTGAGTCACTGTGTCACCGTAGCTCTGACACAGCTTCAAGTCATGGTTCTATACTAGCTGAATGTGTGCTTTGTCGCTGTGACATCCAACTCTACTGCGGTCAGGACTCAAACCTATACGGCATAAAGCATTCTCGATCACCGTATCACGCGGTCATCTTACCACCAGTACTGGCCGAAATTGGATATGTAAAAAACCTGACGACCCCAGCTGTCGATCCGAGTTCAAAATGTTTGTCTGTCCCGAGCGTTGCATTCCTCAAGTATTCGGTCCCAAGGAGATCACCTGTGATCATTACTTCATTGAAGCCCATGTGATCTCCACCTGACCGATAACCTTGCTATATCTGAACACAAAAAACTTTCGCGTGTCGGGTTTTACGGTGCCCAAATATCACATCACGTAAGTCCTCCCGCCACGCCGCTTGGTGTCCCAAGCAGGTGGTCGCCCCACGAGACTGAATAGTTTGACAGTATGTAGATGCATCTAGCTGCACAGTGCGCCCCACGGTCAAAGGTCTGAAGATGCCCCGGATCTACCGCTTACGAAGGCGAAGCCTTGAGACTATGCAGCCAGATATAACGAACAGATAATCTATGATTTTACGGACATCACTAAACGAAACACATACAGACGGCTACCACGAGCACTCGGTGAAGCAGAAACCTGCTTCCTGTGGCTAAAAACAATACCAGCAACACCATAAGCAGTCGAGATGGTCGTTCGATTATTGAAGGCGCGTAGCCGGGAACATGATGAGCCAGATAAGGCGACACCTCGGACCTTGTATCCGGGTTCCGTTTAGATAACACACATAAACCGAAGGCGAGTACAATGAACAAAATGGAGAGGCCAACCATCTAGTCCGTTTCAGAGTGTGAACGTAAAAAGTCGTTCTGCTGTAGGACCCTTTCGGTGCCTAACTGCCATGCCACAGGAAGGAAACACTAGGGCTGGGATACTGCCCAGTTGTTCAAGCCTAGACAGGGGAAGTCGAGAGGCAGCGGTCGGGTTCGAACCACGGACCTTCCGGTCAGTAAATTTGTGCTCTAAGCACTAAACCATCTCGCTCCGTGTGAACGTAGAAAGGTATTCAAGTGGACTTGGAGTCGGAGTAAGAAGAATGATTTTGAAGTTTTTGCTGCTATGCTGGTCGAAAGATTCGTGAATAGTACACGTGATGGCGACGCGAGGGAAACGGAACTGACCCCACTTATGTATGAGTTTACAAAGAGAGACAAAAGAACGGAGGACAGGTGCATCCACGTCCTCGCCTACCTGTCGTGCACAGTGCAGTAGGTGAAATAATCAGCCGGGGTCTAAGTGTCATGAAGTTGATTTTCAGTGTGAATAAATGGTTACATTTGGAGTGGGATGTTACTAAAATGTACCGATTGTCGGTGCACATGTTCCAGCCATCCACCTGAGAGACTAGAAGACCGTCATTTTCGAACCGAACCACGGACCTTCCGGTCAGTAAATTTGTGCTCTAAGCACTAAACCATCTCGCTCCGTGTGAACGTAGAAAGGTATTCAAGTGGACTTGGAGTCGGAGTAAGAAGAATGATTTTGAAGTTTTTGCTGCTATGCTGGTCGAAAGATTCGTGAATAGTACACGTGATGGCGACGCGAGGGAAACGGAACTGACCCCACTTATGTATGAGTTTACAAAGAGAGACAAAAGAACGGAGGACAGGTGCATCCACGTCCTCGCCTACCTGTCGTGCACAGTGCAGTAGGTGAAATAATCAGCCGGGGTCTAAGTGTCATGAAGTTGATTTTCAGTGTGAATAAATGGTTACATTTGGAGTGGGATGTTACTAAAATGTACCGATTGTCGGTGCACATGTTCCAGCCATCCACCTGAGAGACTAGAAGACCGTCATTTAGACCTTTGCTCATTGGTCAGCCTGGTACTCCACAGCAGGGCTTTGGGGGTGCACAAGTCATCACCCTGCCTCCTGGTGACAAATTGGGACCAGGGGCTTGTCGGACAGAAGTGATCGCATTCACCATCGGAACCCTTGATCGACCTCACAACAAATGATTTTACTATCCACCGGACTCAAAGAAAGCGTTCAGCTGTAGCACCCTTTCGGTGCCTAGCTGCCATGCCACCTGAAGGAAGCACGAGGGCTGGGATACTGTCAGGTTGCCCAAGCCTAGACAGGGGAAGTCGAGTGGCGGAGGTCGGATTCGAACGACGGACTTTCCGGTCAGTAAATTCGCGCTCTAACTACTTGGGCCATCTCGCCCCCCACCGGACTCAAAGATGAACAATTTGCAATAAAAACAACTAAGAGTAGTTGAGGAAGCTTGACAATCCCTCTGAGGGACGAGCACCAACCAATCAGCACTTACCTCAAGGCGCGCGTGTTCGCTTGATTGTGGTCCGCCAGACCATCGATGAGATACTCCACATCATCCAGTAAATGCTGGGTTTCACCCCGTTCCTGACAAACGTGAGCTTCACTAACCTTGCGCACCACCGTGTACAGCTAGAAGGAATAAAAGAGGGAACGGAAAAAGAGGAAATTAAAGAACAGAGCATTGGTGGTATGTCAGTTGAGTCAACAATATTTAGTGCTCATCGAACTGGGTATGCAACACAATTTATCATATCGAATTGAGGCATATCTATGGACTGTTTCGAATAGACGAGTCAAAAACGAGAAGGGGAACAATTCAGATGGTGTCAGACCTAGAAAGAAGCAACTCAGAATTTCAGGGAGCAATTCGAGCTGGTTTGAGCCAAAACTCGTTGGGATCGTACCAATTTGGAAAAATGACACAAATCACGTGCCTGGGAACCAGAACCTAAAGTAACGTGGGTTCACACCGCAAGTATCCACGTCAGAAGTGGCAGTGGGTCGAGAGTGAGCTAGCACGAACAGATAGTTTATCAGGTGGCAAACACGAGGGTGATGGCCCGAAGAGAAAAGACGATTTGTTAAACTGGTTGAAAGCGAGTTAGCACAGGAGTGGAGGGACGGATGGGATAGGTTACTAGGGTGCGATTGAGCATGAGTAAGCCCATAACGACCGGGTCAGTGAACCAATTAATGTGAATGGTCATGGACGAAATAGCATAGAAGCTGTGATGGGAGGAACAACGGAAAAGCCGGAGATGGAAACGGAGTAAAAAGCTGTACAGATTTCAATTCAGGCACTGAATTATGAACGCCTGTCAAGAGTTGTCATCCCTTCAAGTATCGCATGTGTTTAAATCCCACTGCCGTTATGGGGCACTATTATCGCTAGACTACTTCAGTATACTTTGGAAAGTGGCCCGATTCTTCAAGACCGCGGTAGTTGTGGTTGTACATCGTGCACATTCGCTCAACTTACGAGAACGGTGAGCAAACAAACGAACTAGAATGTTAGCATATCATGTAATTCCAAAATTTACCAACGCTGAGGAATACGGTTGGTCGGGTGAAACCAGACTGAGATAGGGTAAATGTCACGGTAAACATAGTCGTGACTGACTAGCATTTGTCAAAATACTACCAGTCAGAGTTCGCAACGTAATGTTGAGTGACCGACTGAGGTCAAGTAAGTGAGTGAGTGACCTGCCATTTTGATTAGTGTCACGATCGAAGAATATGTGGTACAGAGTCCTGACTGGCGCGTCTAACCGACCGGTGATCTACAGTGTATGCATTCAATACCATTAGAAACCTGTTTTTGGTCATTCGGGTACCAGAATGAAGAGGACGATAAAACTTTCATGCTGACTAGACTCGGATAAATTGATCAGTACAAATGTGGCGTTGAAAATGTAGGGAATGCTGTCCTGGTGGGACGATGAAAGTGACCATTTGGACAACGAATGCAGCGACCTAAGTAATAACAGCCGAAAGACGTCCTTGGAGCACCAAATCGAGACGTTGGGTGACGCCCGACTGAGCCTCACCACTACGTGGACTAGACACTTATTCGGAAAAAACTCAACATCACGCGTGCCACCGTTACTTAACCTTGAAAACAAGTGCTTGGAAAAGACTAGGCACAAATGACACGGCCCCAATGAAAACTAGGTAGAACAAGCAGATAGAAGAAAGATTTTTGGTGAGGCTGAGAGAAACTTCTAAGTACTGCTTTGAATCCAACGGGTAAGTCAAAGTTGCAGGTATTTTGGGGTGAAGCCACTGCTGTATGCAGCACAGAAAGATGAAAAACTGTTATGTTCAAAAAGAGAAGAACTGTGTCAGGAACCACCACCAGATGAAACTTTGAACATTAATCTGTGGACTAAAGGAAACTACTCACAAGGTTACTGAAAACTCCTCGACAACCGTGTGGGTGGTTTCCGTTATGAAAATATACCGCAATATCTCGAATATTGTACCAACTGAAACGTGAGGCGGCCTTTGTGCAGCATATTCAGTTGAATATTATGAAGCGAGATTCAACTGAGTCTCCCGTGAAAACCAAATTTATTCGCAACTGAGTTTATTTGTCGTAAATTGTTGACATATAGATACTTGTCATCAACTGCTGTGTTACGGGAGTGATCTATGGACAGAAAGATTGAATTTGGGCCGTCCAGATCGAGATGATCATGTGATGGATGGTTCGAGCTGACAATTTCCCAAATGAAACACACTCGATTGGTAGTTGATTCTGCCAGCAAAACAACCAATCGATTCGTGAATTGAAAGTCTATCGTCAGAGGTGAACCACTGTTTTGCACAACCGAACGGATTTAGATGCGCGAAAACGGACACTTGGGGTCTTGACAGGGGATGACAGATAACTGAAGTAGCCATTTGACTGAATGTCTGAAATGTGTTTCAGATGTAGATAAGATCAGCGCACTTTTTTCTTACTGCGTCATCAATTTCATCATGTGCCCACCGTAGTTTACCCTCCCCGGTCACGTCCTTTGCCATAAACTGACCGGCTTGGGCTCAGATGCGTCGCTAAATATGTATCCAATACGCCGCTGGGTTCAGTCAACGGCATTCGGATTCTCATTATCAACCGTGCTTGGCTGCCCGACAAATTGAGCAAAGATCGGACGGTTCCAAGGGCATCTCGTGTACGATATCCCAGAAGGAGATTAGCCATTCTTTATGAAAGACGTACACCTGTCTTGCCAATGAAACTCGGTGGTCAGACAAACGACATGAAATAAAATAATCATTCAGCTGTAACACTCTTCCAGTGCTCAACTGCCGTGCCAGCCGAAGGAAGCACGAGGGCTGGGATACTGTCAGGTTGTCCAGGCCTAGACATGAGCAGGTGAGATACAAAGGTTAGGTTCAAACCACGGACCTATCGGTCAGCAAATACGCGTCTAGGCCACTGATACAGAGGTAGAACAATAAGTGTCCACTGATCTATATTCTGGAACTCAGGCGGGAACCATCGGACGATGCTGTGAAAAAAATTGATCACCTTCGAGAATCAGTAATTCCCAGACGTGACTCGAGATGAAAGTGCTGGCGCAAAATTCTGACTATTTGTATCTTACAGTGATTGCTTTAGAAAACTATTGGCTCGACGGACAGCTCACACGCATGTATTATTCGGCGCGCGCTGGTGGAGTAGTGGTAACACACGGTCCACGCATGTCAGATATCAGGAATTCAAACCCCAACACAGCCAAGGATTTGCACTGATGAAGGATCGAAACTCGAGCCCAGTGTTCCCACTTCTGGTGTGGACTTACCAAAAGCATTGAGCTAGGAAAATCGTAGGACTGTTCAAGCAAGAGTGACGTGAACGTGTATTTAGACCTCAACTTAGCAACACATCAGGGAACACCAGACTTTGTATCGACCAGCTGGCCAATTACAACCGAAGCACACTACCAACGACTGCCCCTAGAAGTCAATAATCCTCTGTCGCGACACAAATCCCGCTATCATTTCGGCAGAACAAGTGCTGTTCACAAATGGACATTATGAGAAGTCGTGAGAAAAATAGCAGTGTTCGAAACAAGAGCATACGCCTTGAAACATTAGGACAGTTTGGAAAGGAAGGGACAGCGCACAGGCCGGGATGAGACCAACGATTTCCTAGAGTATCCACTGAATTCCACAAACCAGAGGTCACCAACGAATCGTAACCCAGTTTCACCGAATGTCGGACATATTGGATTGACCTCAGTCCACTATGGTGTTGTACATCTAACATTTCCAATGCTAGGTACTTATGGAGGCGTTAACGGTAATTCCAAAGATCCCGGTTTCAGATGCACAAAAAGTGATACAGGGACGCTTACACTGCTCCAAATCCAGTAACGCTCTCAATTGATGAGAGTAATTGAAACGCCTCATCACTTGAGACTTGTCTCATCGATCCTAACATGATTCAGAGGATTCAGCGCCGTAACGATGATTGCCAGCCTACTTTATACAGTGCAATAATATTATACGGCTCTTCCTCATTTTCATCACCTTAAGTAGACCAGTCGCAGGACTGTGAAACAACAGAATCTGCGCGCGAGTGAGACTAGTTCTTCGGCGAGAAGATCCCTGGCTCAGCTAGGCCATTTTGGCATTACCAGAATGCTTGAATCTGCCGCCTAACAAGATCTACTACTTGAATAAACGCTACTCTAAACGCGCCTAAGCGACAGTCAGACGAGGTTTTGTGGAGGGTTTATTCTATGGAGTCATATGAAATCAGCGAGGTAGAACTCTCCAAGAAGGCCGGTCGGCAGAATGCATATCCGGATACAAAGATAGCGAAGGCTTCATTTCACAGACGAGTTCCTTGAAGCAATACTGCTTTGCAGATTCAAGTCTGTCCTCAGACATACATGAGCGTTACTCCAAGACTGGTACGGTCTTGCTGATTGGTCTTGTTGCGTTTTGGCTTCATATAAATAATACCAGTCGCCCCGTGATTTTTCGTTTCATTTTATTCTGTCTTGCAAGCATTGCAACTGACGAAGATGCACGAAATCAATTCAAATCACTGTCTTATGCAAATGATCGGGGATAACAACGCTCTAAAGTTTATTTCAGTTGTCTAAAAAGAGGATATTTTGCGCTTAATCTGTATATTTTTGTATCCACATCGTTCCCGACCGTCGCTTATGAGCTAATAAACATTATCGATCCAATAATGACACAAACCAATACAGCTGATTGCCTTGAGTGGTGAACTAAAATGTCAGAATGATATACAACCAAGATACAACAACCGTATATTAAATCGGTCACTCGCAAGCAATCGAGCCATCGTAACCAAGTACCTGTTATAGTACTCAGTGTACGTTCGAACAGTTTCCATACTTGGTAAAGATGTTTTGGTACTGGGTCGGAGACCCATTTGCGGTTTGATTTTTCCATCAAACAAACGCCAGAATCATTCAGCAGTAACACCTTTTCGGTGACTGGCAGTTGCCATGCCACCCGAAGGTTGCACGAGACGAGGGATACTGCTAGGTTGCCCAAGCCTATACAGAGGAAGTCGAGAGGCAGAGGTCGGGCTCGAACCATGGACCTTCCCGTCAGTGAATGCGCGCTCTAACCACTGAGCC